AAGTTATTAGCATGAGATTAATACCACTTGTGTGTATTGTTTGTTTTGAACCTCGCGCAAAGCTACACGAGGGCTATCTGCGCTAGCCGTCCCTAATTCAGCAGTGTAAGACTAGATGGAAGGCACATAGCTAACTCTTGGGCTACTCTTTTACTAACGAATAGTGGGATTGACCGTCACATTATAACGCCCCCACGGCGAGCATGTTTGGTGTGACAGGGATTCGAATCCGCGACCCTCAGATTGCGAGACCAGCACCCTAACCACCTGGCCATGCCGGGCCACTTGTGTGTAAGTATAAGAATATTGTACGAAATCTAAAGGGAAAAAAAAACATAAAATAATAGAGTCTGATAAAATAAAGTCAAATTACGTCCTTCAATCTAAGATTAAAGTAAAGTTAGAAAGCTTTAACATGGGAAATGTTGTAATGCTGGGTGGTTTCTATGTGGTTTATAAACAGTGTATTATATATCAATATGATACCTAAGGTTATTTAAGATATACTTATCTTCTGATTCATAAATTAATTTTCAATATTTTTATTTTATCATAACTAGTGTGTGGTATGAGATCAAAGATGAGTTTTGAACATAATTAACCAACTACAGCTGAAATTTTACAACTTACATGTGAATAACTAATAGAAAATCCTTACAGATAATCAACTATACGGAAGCTAAGGAATTAGTTAAACTCTGAGTCTAAAATCAAGTCTTAACAAAACTTATCATTACATAATGCTGTAAAATCAAACACATAAACTTAGAGGTAGACCGATCAGCAGTATGTAAAAATAAGTTGGCTGAATTATAAACATATACTATCGGTGGAGTTCAAATATTGCATAGTCATTTCTTGTTTTTATCTGTTACAACAAGTGACCAAAATTGGAACATGAGGTTAAAGTGTCTTGCATGAAGCGGGCTAACCTCGAACTTTTAACCATCCGAGTCCAAAGTGCGAAGCCACTGATCCAATCTATTCCGTACCTATATCTAGGAGTCCCTAATTTTCAACAATCCGAGTCCAAAATACGTAGCCACTGATCCAATCTATTCCGCACCTGTATGTAGGAGTCCCTAACTTTCAACTGATAGTCTAGAGAGAAAGCATCTACTGAACATTACCCACCGCCAACTCTTAGGCTACTCTTGTTTAACAGAGTACATGGATTTGATCGTCAATCGTATAGGACATCTAAGACCATAAAATGCTGAATATGTTTATTCAACAAAACCATGAATCCTCGGGTTCACAGTTTGGACCAGTGGTGTATTTTCCGTGTTACCGCGTTTACCGACGGTAAACCAGACTTGGGAGAATATAAAGAAATAGTGTTTCAGTCAGTAAAAAAAAATATTAGAATCTAGCACGAATATATAACTACTGCAGTTTTGAAAAATCAGTGACAGAAGATGTTATTTACACGAGAAATATCCATCGTTGACCGCAGTGTCTGAGCGAATACTGATTATATGTGCCGTCTATGTCGCTCATTATTGCGGTTCAAAGTAAAGTATGCTAAATACTAATTTATTTTTAGTTACGCATTTTTCATGATTATTTTGGATATTTTAATATGTTTTGATTACTGTTATACAAGCCCTCCAGTGGCACAGTGGTATGTCTGCAGACTTAGACTGCTAAAAACCGGGTTTTGATACTCGTGGTGGGCAGAGAACAGATAGCCCTTTGTGTAGCTTTGTGCTTAATAACAAACAACAACTGTTATACAAGTATATGTGTGTATGTGCGATAAACCAAAGCCACCGGCCAAGATACGCCACTGGTCTGGACATATTTACCAATAGACCACGTCTAGCCTATTATAAAACGTAAAAGTTTAAAGAAGTAATCCTTACGTGAGTTGGCCATCCTCTTTGTTAATGGTGTTCACGGACATAATTCTAATAACGTCACACTAAGCTTGGCTTGCTTGGTTAAGTTATGCATGAATAACTACACCAAGCAACAATGCAAAACCAGATATTCTTCTGGTATTGTTAGATAATAACAATAATTCAATAACGTTAATAATTTATTTTAATATTTCAGTAATAAACTAGCTGGACACTCTGTAGAGCACATAACTCCGCCACGGAGCATTGATCATATTCGACTCTCAAAATATACGAAAATGTGTGGGTATGTCCGTCATTATCAACGGACATGGGCCATTTTTGGCAGTACAATGGGGAATAATATTCTACATATGTCCACAAAATTTGTGACTGAGTTATAGAGCAAACATAATGTGAAAAATTAATCCCCATGTTAACAGATAGCAATTTTGGGGATTTTCATGACTTTGCTGTGACCTTGACCCTACAAAAACTAACTACTTCTAACTTTGGTCCTAGTCCAAATGTATACCAGCTTTTATTCAAATCCATTCCACCGTTTTTGAGAAATCTTGTTGACATACACACACACACACACACAGGGATGACAACATAACCTCCGTCCACCTTCGGTGGCGGAGGTAATGAAAATATGTGATATCCGTAATATAGCACCGACCTAAACTGAACATTCGCTACAGCGACACACCCAGATAGATACACAAAATAGCAAGATAATTAATTGCACAAATGTGCATCAAATAATCTAAATTACCATTCATTCATATATTAAAAAGACTACAGATAATAATTCTCCACTGGTATGATTTCTTTATTATCAATAACAGCTCCTAACATACCTATCTTGAAATACTAACCTGTTGTCTTTGTGTTAACTGTGGAAGAAGCTACGCAAATCTACCTGTATTTTGCACAAACGAATCAAAACCTCACCTAAAAGATACATCATAACTCGACCACCTGCACCTGGTAAATAATAGATGCCAGACTTATAGGTAACGTATTTGAAATATAATAACCATAATATGCAAATATAATGAAGTATACCGCATAGAATATAAGCTACCTTTACGGGGAACTATATTAGTACTGCGGATGTATACAACAGATGGGAGATTTCAAATCCAGATTAAGGGTTTAATTCTAGTTAATCAACACGTTTTTTTTTTGGCAAACAAACACTGAGCAACGAAAATAACTCCTGTAAACAGCCTTGTTCGAGTACATATATATACACACATACAACACATATTTTACTTTTCAGTTTAATAGCAGTGGTTATAATAAAATGAGAGATTCAATAGGAGTACATATTCAACTCCATTTTGTCGAGAGACTATACATTCAGTGCGGATATTTTCTATTCAGAGAAGAACAAAAGTAAAACACGGACGCGCGCGAGCACAATATCAAAAAGAGAACTTTGGCTGGATTTCAACAGTGTGGATGAAACTTTAACGGCAAGATGCCCACAGTCTAATGTGATCAAAATTTCTCAGAAGTACTTTTTCGTTCAAAGTTTCAGTTCCAATTTCTCAATTTGTGTGTAATTTGTGTGTGTGTAAATGTAACATTTACATTACATTGAACATGGTATTACTACCATTTACGGGGATGTTTGTACTGGAAAATGAATAATAGGAGTATTTGTTTGTAATTAAGCACAAAGCCACACAATGGGCTATATGTGCTCTGCCCACCACGGGTATCGAAACCCGGATTCTAATGTTGTAAATCCGCAGACATACCACTGTGCCACTAGGGGAAATAATAGGCGTAACAGAAGGAAAACGTACTTGAAAATAGAAGCTTCGTTATGATGAGTTATATAGTTACAGTGGTCATTGACACTGAAAAAAGAACCTCAAACAGAGAATATTTTACATTTTCTTGTTAAAATGGACAATATGCTTGGTGATTAGACTTCCACGAGTTTTGGTCAAGTCTTCTTCTTTTAAACAATGCATAATTTTTATGGCACGTACTTAATATCAGCATCGTGCCTTTCTGGAATGCTTTTACATTGCACTACACTAATGTTATACGGACAAATCAGATGTACAGGGGTTTTTTTTCTCAAGTGAGATTTTATTGTCCTAGGTTTGACAGCTTATAGAAAGTTTTAGAATGAACTTTCTGCACTGTGCCATGCATAGGTATGGAACCTCAAATTTTAGCGTTATATAACCTTCAAGCATACCGTTGAGACGTCGGGGGAGAGGCAAATTAAGAAATATTGTTCGTGATTTTAATAAAAAGACGAATATTGTTAAAACCGCATAGGCGACGAAAATATCAAAATTAAATAATAGGTTGAACAATCGCCAAGTTTTTACATATTTTTATTTTAAGAAGGATGACGTTTCGAGCTAGCGCTCTTCGTCAGATTATACAGTTTCACAACCTTCTTTAACTAAAAATATATAAAAATTTAGCGATGTTTTCGTGATTTTGATACCCAAAATCAATGTTGCTCTAATGTATAATTCAAATACAACAATGGTATTTTCAACGTTGCTCTAATGTATAATTTCAAGAGAACAATTGTGTTTTTCAACGTGCTCTAATGTATAATTTAAAGAGAACAATTGTGTTTTTCAACGTGCTCTAATGTATAACTTAAAGAGAACAATAATGTTTTCAACGTTGCTCTAATGTATAACTTAAAGAGAACAATAATGTTTTCAACGTTGCTCTAATGTATAATTTAAAGAGAAGAATGGTGTTTTTCAACGTGCTCTAATGTATAATTTCAAGAGAACAATGGTGTTTTTCAACGTGCTCTAATGTATAACTTAAAGAGAACAATGATGTTTTCAACGTTGCTCTAATGTATAATTTAAAGAGAAGAATGGTGTTTTGACCCAATAAGTATAATTTAATACAAGCATTTGATATTTTAAAAAGTAGCAGAGTAAGATATTTCTTTAAAAACGTTTTATGTTGGTGAAAATGAAGATTTCTTTAGAAAAAATAAGTTACGTCTCTTAGAATAAATTTCAGAAACATACATCTTGTTAAATTATTTCATTAAAATTTAAACAAGTCTTTATAGTACATTAAGTAATACCTTACCTTAACAAGACTTACAGAAATAGCACGTCTAATCATGAGGCAAGAATACTATCAGCTTACCTTGAATAAAAAGAATCGTCAAAATAGGTCCCCTAACAAATAATTCTGGCATTGTGTAATAATTTAGTGTTTTCAAAACATTACTTTTAAAGTCCCTTCTTGTAACACTGATCTAGAGACAAAATATTAGTTTAATCAAAAAAGTTAAAGTCTGCGAACACTCGGGATAATTCTGACAAAGTTAACTGGCGTCCCCATTCGCGATGAGTGAAAAATACACATGCGGGTTACGAGACTACATCTTCATGTAGTCTCGTTCTCAGCACGCTTGCGTAAACACACAGGTTTCTGCTAACTCAACCGCGATAGTATCCGCCTGGTCGCGCAATGGAGAACAATAATCCGAGGCTTAACTGAGTTAAAGTGAAGACATATGAAAACACAATGAGAAAATTCGAGCTTCAGAAATATGCATCAAATACATATGTAGAACTTTATAAAGAAAAATATGAGCGTCAATTATGAAAATTTTTAGGACTCACTATATTTTCATTAATTTGAAACAAACTCTAAGTTGAAGAGTATATTTTATGAAACAATTAGTTACCCAAAGTCTGTGTCCGCAGTGAAATGATGTACAGCGTATTAAAAGTTTTTTAGCAGGATGTTGATCTATTTAAACGTCAGAATTATCGCATTTTCCAGCTGCAAGTTTTGTTTCTTACACTAATTTATATTTGAATGAAAATCATATACATAATTACATAGGTGAAATGGTATATGCTGAATAAACTCTGAGGTATTAATTTTCCATTCACTGGTGTACCTTGACTCTAGAATTACCGATGAGGCATAGACATTTTCCTTTTTTTTCACAGGGTTCCTAATAATATACGGGTCACAAAAAAATTTAAACATAAATATTATCAATTTTAAAATTAGTCCCACTAATTACTACTTGTGTCCCCTGTACATTTTAAAAAAATGGGCGGTTTTTTTTCTGTTTCTTCGTTCGTTCTTTACAGGCAAAAAAAAAGGCATATCAGTATGATGTATTTATTTGTACCCCACTGGTAGTGAACGGTGTAAAAAGAAGTCCGTATTCATACATCATTAGCAACGTGTGGAACTATACATTAAGTTACAGGTCACATTCACCATCAAGAGGTGGATTTCCTCTGTTCAATAGCTGTTTCACCTAGACAAACAATTCTACACCTGAGCAAACAATGTTTAATATGAAAGATAAATACATTGCTTATAAATTTATAATTTTATTTGTTTATCTTGTTACAGTGTTTGTGTTTATTAGGACCCACTAACATGTGGCTGTTCCACCAACTTACTATGTTGTTGTTGTTGTTTTCCTTATTAATTAATTAAAGCACTGATTAACTCTTACGTGAGCCAATTTACTAAGTAACCAAAATCATGCCACTAATTCATCTTCGCGAAACATGTAATTCAGTGAAAAGGGATTCCCCGAACAATATCGTAAATGTCAGTTTAACCAATACGAGGAATGGTTCCGTTCCAAGCGCCCACGTGACGTGGAGCGCGTGGGAAGAATTGCTCATCTCTCTCTCTCTCTCTTGGCCTTGGTGTTCCATTTCGTACGTGGTGAATAAAAGCTGAAGGAAATGTTTAATCTACAACGTTTTTATAAGATAAATTTTGTTAATCAGGGCTTGTTGAAGAGTTTAGTTTTTGGTCAACAACACAAAATTACTTAAACATATCGTTAAATGGCTCTATTTTTAGGCATAGTAAAAGTTCTGTTTACTCTTATATTTTGACGTTATAACATGTTTACACTTACGCGAACGGCAACGAAACTTGACGTAATCCACCCAGGAGAACACAAATTGCGAGACTATTTTCGTGTGTATGTGTGTGTGTGAATATATGTTATGTTTAAAAGCAACCTCAAGCAAGCGGTATCCGTATGAGCAATATTCATAACATTGTCGATCGTAGCTAAAACCAACTTAGGTCAGAGGTGATAAATATATATATAATATCTAGCAAATTGTATTTTGTTTTATTTGTAATTAAGAACAAATGGGCTACCTGTGTTCTGCCCACCACTGGTATCGAAACCCTGTAAGTTCGCTGACATACTGCTGTGCCACTGGGGGACAGTAAATTGTTAAAAATTTACAACTTTTATCATTAATTAATTAAACAGAAAAAAAAACATACTTCTGTCCTGTTTAATGACAATCTCATGGCTACTGTATCATCAGAGCATTAGAGAGAATTCGTGAGAAATGTTCGTTTGAATTTATAGACTACTTGTTTATATTTACTGAATGTCTAAGTTATGGAGCAATAGGGTCCTTAAAATTGTATTATCTTATTCGATTGTAAAGAGTAAAAAAAATTCTTATTGTAAGGTAAACCACTAAAACTGGACTTGTGTTTTTTTTAATCCCGTGCAAAGTTAGACGTCCCTAATTTAGTAGTGATAGACTAGAGGGAAGACACTTAGTGAACACCATCCACCGCCAACTCTTGGGCTACTCTTTTACCAAAGAATAGTGGGATTGACCATCGCGTTATAACACCCCCACGGCTGAAAGGGCGACCATGTTCGGAGACAGGGATTCGATCCCGCGACCTTCAGATTGCGGGTTGAACGCCTTAACCACCAGGCAATGCCATGTCGTAACTGTAATTGAAAAAAAGGAATTAAAAACCAAAAAAGTGTTTTCGTCAATCACTGAAAGAAAATAAAATGTGTGTGCTGAAGCTTGCTTTTAGGATTAGATTTAAATATACCGAGACTTGGTTCTATATGCCAAACACGTCTTGGTTTTGGATAAAGTAACGTGTGATAGTCTTCAACCATATACGCAAGATGATTGTGTCGAAATGAAACATTGAGGGGAAAAAATCTGCACTTTCTTTAACAGCGTAACTCAGAAATCAGCAGTGCTATGTGAAAAGTAGCATAAAATTATAAAAAAAATATATAAAAAAATTGCACTCTATCTTTTCCTACATTATTATTTCGTACAAGATAAAACTGAAACATAATTATTACAGCTAATTTTAATATTGTACATAAATAATGTACATATGCACATAAGGTTGAATACGTTGTGCTAAAATGATTTTGGAGCCTCACCACCTCGTTAAAGTACATGTCACCACGTCTGGTCATAGCTGACGACCGTAAATTTTAACAATAACCTTTTAGCGTAATCTCTATAACAAAAAGCTTCGTCATAAGGCTATCATACCCAAAGTAAACTACTCCTCCCTGCATGCTTTCCACAATCCATCTAGCTTACGAAGACGAGATTCCAAGCTCACGTTTCCACAATCTGATCGTACCTGTATGTCTTGGAATTGTATGAATACCCGTTTCATTTTCCAGCTGTTTGAGGTACTCGACGATTGAACGAGAGATATAACCTTAAGTCATATTCTGGTGAATCCATACCCTGTTGACCTCGTTTTCAGATGAGATCCTTTTTATTTATGCTGCGTACTGTTACCTGGTGGTATGTGGACGACGTTTACTGCTTATCTTTGGGACTGTTGATTCCCACCTGTTAGAAGAGCCTTACATTGCTTGCCACGACTGGAATACAACGTTTTGTAGGTCTCTTTCTGGGTTAATCCTGGTGATCCATATTCTTTTGTATAAATATTATGCGTCGGAGGGGGCTTTTAGATACCCATCCCAAAAGCGACCAGTTTTCAGTGGCATCATTCTACTCACGAAAGCCAATTAATGTTAAATGCGGTTGAGATGCATTCCGTGTTACTGTGCATTTATATCGACAGTGTTTGTCACGTAACTTGCTGATTTACATATTCCCAATCGTTTAATTATAACCCACTTAACCTTGTAAAATCATATTTACCATACACACACATGTATACTATAGTTTTAAATAGATAGTCTGCTACATACCTTTCAGAAAGCCTTAAGTGTTAAGCTTCAACTATTAGTTAGTGACTGTTGTATGTTCTGGAAACAGGGAACTGGACATGTAAAATAAGATATAGAAATGTGGTCAGGCAAAGTTGATATTATGAGTATGCATTGTGTTTGCTTCAAACAACGAGATGGAGTGAGACAAATATTTAATTAGTAAAAATACTGAGACTGTCCACTACATTAAACAAATGTTTTACCGTGACTATTAAATAATAGTTTACATAAGAATTTCTTATACACCTATTTAATAAACCTTTTACGAAAACCCCTTGTTTCTCAATTTTTGTAACAAAAAATATAGATTTTTGTAACGATATACTTATATATTCTTAATTGGGAACATAAAATACCATTTACTATATTTCTTAAGACTTTAGAAGATTCTACTGGTAGATTGGTTATTTTATATCAGGTTTTTTGTTTGTCAAAGATATTGATACTGACATAACCGTTATCATATATTATTTAAAGGTCTAGAGCTTGTAAAAACAGAATTAAAATCTTTAAAGTTAGAAATTACTAAGTTATATATATATATCTAAACAGCACATTATATTTCTCTGTATGAGCAAAGTTGTTTCTTTGTTTGTTTGTTTTAAATTTCGCGCAAAGCTACACGAGGGCTATCTGTGCTAGCCG